CCCAGAGAGGAGGCCACCACCACAGGAGAGATGAGGATGTTGTCAAGATCCTTTTCTTTGGCGATATTGTGGTAGAGATTGAAGGCCAGGTTAGCGCTGGTGTCTGCCATGGAGGTTGCATGGGGACTCATCTTTTTGTCCTGACCGGACACGGCCACAGCCAAAAGGCACAGAGCAATGAGGTTGGATACCAACATGCTTGCTTTATTTTTGGGTAGTAATGAAAGCCTAGAAGAGAAAAGAGGCAGCAAGTGATACTGAGTGCAAATTGAACAATTTTTCTCTTGATGCAGATTTAAATATTTCTTTGTGTCTGTTATAGGAGCAAAAGGCTGCATAGTGAATTGTTTGATCATTATATCAGTTTTAAATAATTTAGTTTTTTATTTTTAAGTTTTTGAAATGTATGCACCCTAAATAGTTAAACCTACAGAAATAAAGCCTGTAGGCCATGTTTTCTAGGTCAAACCAGTTAAACAAAAGCAACGGCAATGACTAATCAGACAGGAATGTGCCACTTAACGTGAGTCTGCTCGTTTTATACAGTTCTGAAATGTGCCAAATCACTTTAAAATAAATATTTATAAAATAAAATAATGTTATGTTTCCACTAACAACCTCAAGATAGCAGCTTATGTAAGTCAGCATGGTTGTTCATTCACATATTATTTTGGTCTTTTTTCTGTTTCTTTTTTGTATGTTGCTTTTTTTATCATCTTGGATACCTTGATACGTTTTCATATTCATAGTTGTCAACGATTGTGATTTTCACTCTGAAAGACAAGAGGTGCATTTGGGTAATCTACACAAAAATATCTTTATGCACATTGGTTAATGTGGGAAAAAAAACTCCTTGAACTCCTTGCTTCTCTTAATTAAGCAAAGGTTTAATTAGAAGCAGAAGGCTGCTGCTACTTCATGCACACAGAGAAAGAAAGAAAGACATGCAGACTCTTCTTATTGGCTAGAAGATCTTAGGTGGAAACTTCGACCAATCAGAACGTCCACAGTAGACCTGCGTCTGAATTCCAAAGGTAGCACTGATTGAGTGATAGCATAAAAAAACACTCTCAAATGGAAAGATCGTATCACTCTTGTAAATTTAGGGTAAAAATGAATGGCAAAAAATTACACAAATCTGGAAAAATATGCATCATTGAAAATAATCTAAATTGATAAAAAAAAATATTACCATTGAACAGCCAATGACTGTCCAATGCATGTAAACCTGTTGGTGTTTTAGCATTTTTTATTTTGCATTTATTTTTGACTAGTTTTGCATAAGATTCAAAAGTAAAGAAATTAGTTTTTTCCTTACTTCTTTGGGGAAAAAAGCAAACTTATTAACAACCTTATAGTTGATTTGGGATTAAGTTGCCTGCTGTAAATGCACTTTTAAAAATGCTAAATGGACTGAAAAAGCAGAAAGAAGAGTAAAAAAAGAGTATTCTCTGACCCTGTGTGCAGTAGCCTTTTTAGCATGCAAAAAAACCCAAAAACATTCCACATAAATATTTGTAAAATAAAAGCATTTTTCTCATTATTTACCTTTAAAAAAAAAAAGCTGTTTGGATGTGTTCCTCTTCTTTTCTCAGATGTTCTCCTCTTCTTTTCCCAGATGCTGCTTTGCTGCAGAGTGTTTGAAGCAGAGGCCTTTATACTCCAGGAAAGAAACTTCTAGAAGCTGGAGCTGGGCTATTCAAATGAGGATGTTTGGATTTCCTAGGGAAGCTGGGAGAGCCCTCCCTCTGGATCCAATGACCACAAGATTCAACCTCTGCAAGGTCCTAAAGCCTTCTGAAATCTGCAAACAATCAGCTAATCAGCCATTAAACTAGTGTCATCTTCATTTAAACTATGAGTCGTAAATATAAAATTGTATATATTGGCATGAAGTGTGTAATGGAAGATGATAATGTTTTGTCCTGTATTAGATTTTACCACTGAACGCAGATTTGCTCTGCTGAGTTGGCAGTGTTTTTAGAACAGAATGTGCATTTTATGCAAGAATATAAAGTTTGAAATGACCGTCTGTCAATAAATTACACAATGACCCCAGGATATATGAAGTATCCATTATAATTTCTAAGTTTTCTGTCTGTCAACATTCCTTCTAGATTCTTCTGTCGGGGGATGCAGAGACATGCTCCCAAAGCTCACATCCTCCCCCAACACTGCCACGTCAATGCGTAAATTCTTTTTTAGGCTGTGGGTGTGGTGCAGGAACAGCTATATATATTTCAAAGTAACTTTTATAATTTTACTAAACTTAATATAGTATTTTTCGGAAATTTATAATGTGATCATTCTTTTGCACATTTTTTTGTTTTGTTTTGTTAAGTCTGTCAGTGCCCTTTGTACTGTGTATTCACTTTTTTATTTTGCAACTTTTTCTTCTGTCCCCTGCAGTAATGAAACACAAGTAAGCTTTCTTTCTTTCTTTCTTTTTTTCTTTCCTTCCATCCATCCATCTATCTATCTATCTATCTATCTATCTATCTATCTATCTATCTATCTATCTATCTATGACTCAAAGTCATCCATGCACCAAATGAGCTCCATAAAAATACATTAAAGATATAAAAGCTCTCAAATTGCTCTAAAAAGTTCAGATTTTTATTAGGTACATTTCTAAATGTCTTATAAGCACAAAAGCATGTGTTTTGTGCATTGACCACCTGTGAGTGGAATGTGTTGTCCAAACATGTGGTGCTGCTGCAAATGGCAATCTTGTTGTTTACCAGAGAGTCTCTTTAAACATCTCAGTTCCCCCAAGACTTCAGTCGTGCATGTGTCAGATGTCTTACTTGCAACAGTGACACAACACTCAAACTTTGGTTATGTTTAAAAATGTTTAAAGGATATATTCATATATGTTGATGGAACCTCAGAAAATCTGCACAAAGCAGTCATTGAGTTATGGGCTGAGCTGGGGGGCTGTGTCAAACATGTATGATGTAAGATGTGAGCAAAGTAACCTCTTAAACGCTGATGTAACTTAGTACAGCATTGCATGTGTCTTTGTTTCTTATCTTAAGACGTGAGAAAAGGAGAATTTAGTGAGAAAAACAATTTACGCTGGAATTGTGTTGTTTTATCACTGGCAATCAGAAAAACAGTTTCCATCGTGTAGTTAGTTTGATCTGCAATACCAAGGAGTTTTGTTTTGCTTTAAGTCCTTTTTTTGTAAGACAAAATGACCATCTTTTAGGGTGGATACAGTAATCAAACAAGTTTTTATAGCACTGTATGATAAATTAAATGCAAAGTAGGCAAACCTCCTCAACAGTAGCATGGGAGAAATCGTGGGCCGAAAGGGGGCACTTCAGTGTTGGAGATTAAAGGGGCAGGGCCTCAAGCTCCCCCGGCCCACCCAACCCCCTGACACCACCCATGTACGCCACACCACTACTCCTCAACTACTATGACAATTCATTTGTACATTAGCTTAGAATTATTACATATGATTTTGGATTTTGTCTCTGTCGTGACTACAGGGAGAACAATCTTTGCAAAAACTGATCTCAGGGAACATCTCAGGGCCTTTGTGTGTTGCGTTAATGAACAGACTCTTAGTTGTCGTGGATAAGGACTAATTGACTGTGACCTTAGTCACTTTTACTAATTGAAGGCACAAAGATTAGTTCTTAAGGTGTTGATCACTCAATTTTTGCTTTGCTATGTTGTAGGTTTTGAGCTAATTATTCAGATAACCTTTCCTTTGAATAAGGAACAAAAAGTTGCTTAACTCAAAACTTATTTTTCAGCCACTAGATGGCGATCAAAGGAAGCAGTTGTATCTTACGTGATTGCTTTCCCAAATTCATGGGTAGTCGATTCCTTTCCTTTTCTCTCATTAAACAACATGCAATTGGGATTTGGTGTTCAGTACTTAAGGAACGCACACACAGGAAACGTTCCTCTAAAGTTCACTTGCTGAACAGCTACAGGGCAAACGCGTCTCGATAAGGTAAGAAAACTTTTAACGTGTTTTTCTTCCTTTAATTTCGTCATCTGCTCTTTTAAATGATTTGTTTAATCGCTGACCACTATTAGATGGTGAACTGTTAATGTATGGTATGTAAAGCCATTCGTTTAATGTAATAATTTGTGTAATATTAAAAGGCAATCAGTTCATATGGCTAGGACGCAGAGGGTTATCTAATATTGACAGTGTACGAAGGGGGTCTCGAAAATCCCCAGCAATGGGAGACGCAAAAAGGTTTGAGGAGCTTTCAAACATTTCAGTCACCACGAAAGTTAGATTACGAGTTCGGTAAACGCTCTTTAATAACAGAAATCACGCTGTAACCATAGCAGCAGTATGGCGTTTTGGCTTTTCGTTGGGATTATCATCATACTTCGTCCTTTCAATAAAGATTTACATATTACAAAATATGTCACAAGAGACTTGAGTGATTTGTTTTGAATGCTTTTACGTTTAGCTAACTGTGCAAGGAGCGCCAAAAGACATTTTGCGTCGCTCGAACATCAATAGATTGTGTGGTCATAATGTTATGATTTATGAAAGGGCTATTCAATTAGTTTCATTTGAGGGCCGTTGTTTTGACGATTTGTGTTACCCTGTCAGATTTTGCTACCTCCCATTAAAACAAAAGGTAGCATAATTCGATAGCGAAAAGTGCTACCTATCAGATTTTGCTTCCAGCATGATATTAATAAGGTTTGAGGCTTTATTAACATGTACACCTACCCCAACCCTAAACCTACCCTTACAGTAGGATAAATACAGTGTTGGTAGCATAATCTGATAGGTAGCATTATTTGTCAGAACACCTGATTATCGAATTGAAATTTTGAAGGGGGCCAATGGGGTGGGTGGCCGTCCCAATCTCTTTCTGAGGGGCCTATAAAATTAGAAATTAAATTTAAATGCATATTCATAAGTAAAATAAAATAATATTATCAACACCAACATCTATAAAAGGTTAACATTAGTGCTGTCTGTGAATCGATTTAAATAAAATTATTCACACATTTTTCTGTAATTAATTGTGATTAACTGCATATTAATATATTTGTATTGTCATAATTTCACATTGAACCTCCAAATTAATGTAGAAACAATATAAAGATGGTATATTTTAAATATGTGTTTAATGGCATCTTTTTACTGAGTAGCCTATTATTAACAATGGCCAGTATTTTTTATAACAATGCAATACTGCTACTGATGTCTCTATTAAATGCATTTTGCCCTTAATTTTAGCCATTGATTATAGCAATTCAACGTTACAGTATAATTGAAAGCCATTATTTTTAACATTTAGTAGGTTCTGAAAAATATAATTTTTAACTTTTAATTTAAGTGAACTTAAAACAATATTCACATAAACTATAAATTGTATATGCATAAACTATATAGATTAATCTTTATTCAAGCTACAAAACTTAATCAGCGATTAGAGCAGTCGAGTGATTTCTTTTTCTTTTGTTCTGTGATTTACATCAGATTTCACTTTAAAAGCAGCGCTGTCTCTTTAAAACCTGATACACATGACGCGTATCTGACACACATCAGATTTTCTCCCAACTCTTTACAGTCATTTAAGACTTTGTAACTCAGTTAAGTCTCTTAAGTCAGTTAAGTCAGAGGTAACTCACCAAAACCGCACATTTTGACAATTGTGTGTGTTTTTGTCAGTTGAAGCGCTACTGGCAGTCTGTCTGAAGCGTCTCAGCGAATGTGTACAGC